CCAGCCCGGTGCAATCCTGCCCGACGCTCTCCAGCCCAGCGTTCCCTAGCCCGGTGCTTCGGACACTTGGCCGCTACAGTGCCAGACGTGTGCCCACACCAGAAACCAGAAAAACCACCAACCAACCCAGAAACCAGAAGATTGAAACACCTTATATGTGTGCTGCCGAGACGATCACGTATATTGAATGCGTGTCATGAATATATATATATGTACATAGTTGTATGTTCTTTCATTATATGTTGCACGACAGGACCTTGAATCAATAACCGTTAACTGGCTCTCAACCAATGTTCTGCAGGGTGCGATGGCGATTGATAAGCATATTTACTGAACAAGGAATGGGACTGTCTATAGCAGTCTCTTTCACTTAAAAATTATGCTTATAATTTTGGGCGAGCTGCTTCGTCATATCTGAGGCTTGCTGTAACATTTTCAAGTGTGAAACATTCCCTTTAGAGTCCCCCGTGTTCTCCAAAGTCCCCCGTGATCTTAAGGCCTAAGCCGCTCTAGTTGCTGATCCGCACTCCCGCAAGGATGTGCAGACTACTACGTGCAGAACATTTCCAGGTCACCCAGGCATTGAAGACGCCATACCAGTTATTTCACGTCTGCTCTTCCATTACCATGTGGCGATCAAGGTCAAAACAAGCATACGCGTCGTGTCGTTCATACCCGCCGTTTGTGAGCACGATTTCCACCCAGCCAGCATGTTTACATGGGCCCACAAGGGCTAAACGTAAGGTAACTTGATTAATATCGACATGGGCTACAAGTGGGCGGCCACTACTGAGCTCCAGCTGGGTCCCAAATGAGATGCCAGCATCATGCCATATTTCTACATGCACCAGAAATGTTCGTGCCTGGCACTGCCCCATCGGAATTTACCATGACAAAAAAATTACGAAGAGGAAATGCATAAGGCAGTGGCAAAAACCTTGTTCCTCAAAGAAAACCAGGCGAATGGAATATATATATATATATATATATATATATATATATATATATATATATGCAGTGATATTTCCGCAAAGTTCCTTTATCGAAACGAACGGCAAAAGTGAATTCACAATTGCCTGCCAATGATCCTATCCGGTTTCTCATGTTTGTTTTTTTTGGGACGGCGAGTCACATTTTTTACAGGGCACCTCTATTCAGGTGATTATAAAAAAGCAACTGCCAGCCATTACTGCGCACAGTGCATATCTAACCAAGAATTAGAATGTGCGAAAAAAACGTGTGCAAGCAAACGAATTCAAGTAGAGGCATCACGCATCACGCTTTATTCAAACATGCATATGAGTTCGAGTAAGCAAGCATTTCACATTACGCATCAAGTACACATGCAAACTATTTCAATAAAACAGGCATGGCGCATCACACATCTTAGCGTCTTCAGACACTACTTTAAAAATTTAAACGATTTTAAGCTACCACACGTCATGCATCAAGGCACATGTGGACAACTTGGGTTCACATCAACATGGTCTACAGGTGGGGGTGGCATCCCGCTTTATGTGGGACCCAGATACCACCAGTGGGACCCAGACGTCATATGTGGGCTGCCCACATGTCACCGTCTTGGTTACATAGGCACATAATGTTGATGAGCTGTGTTTTCATGTCGTGTTCTGCCATGTATTGTGCGAATTATTTCACATGAAGTAACAGCTCGTAAGGCTGTGCTGCACATGTGTTTGCATGGGCAGGTTCGGCCCTCGTTGACATGGGTTGCAGATGGGCTGGTGTCTAGGCTTTATCTGGCACCTAGAAAGGCTGTAATCGTCCTGTTCACATGGACACAACACTACAGTTCTCATGTTCTGTGTTCATATTTTGGGGCTCTTTGTGTCCCGTGCAAAAAGGTAGGTGTGTCCCGCTGGTAAGGATGGGATCCACATGGCTTTGACATCGGCAAACTAGGCCCACGTTAACACGGACTGCACATGGGCTGATATTTGGACCTTATCTTGGACCCAGATGAGCTGCCTACATGCCACTGTCTTGGTCACATCGATTCATCATGTTTATGCTTTGTGTTTTCGCCTCGGGTTTCGCCTGATCTCGTACAAATTATTGCGCAACCTTGGGCAGCAGGCAAGGCTGGGCTCCAGGTATTTGTATGGCAAAGCTGGGCACACACCGACATGGATTGTAAGTTAGGTAGTATCTTGGCTTTGCCTGGGGCTCACATGGACTGCCCACAAGCCGCCGTCTCAGCAACATTCTTGACACCATCGCATGTGACCGATGAAACTGTTGCTGGCACTGCGCCTTTAGAATATGCACGTACGAAAGGCTCGGTATGGGAGCAAGATGTATGGAGCATAGAAACAGCCAATCGAGTATTGTTTGTATATGAGGACAAAGGTGAGTACGGCCGACCCTTTTAACCACTGTTTCTGTGAACAGTCTGTGATTTTTCTCGCGTGTTTCACGATTCCATACTGAGAAAAGTAGATGTTTCTCGACACGATTCCATACTGTGAAAAGTAGCTGCTGCTCCACACGATTCCATACTGTGAAAAGTAGCTGCTGCTCCAGCTTTGCTAAACATCTCCGTTCCTCTCACTATACCCTAAGTCGCGCCGCACGCACGATACAGCTATCATACCACAGACCCCCCTCCCCCCCCCCCTATGCTGATTCAGCGCCTACATGGCGACGCAAGGTGGGCACGAGTCAACGCCGCGACGCCCGTTTTGCGCACCAGCTTCACCCTGCAGTGCCTGCCATGAGACTGCCTGCACACAGCATGTCTGTCGGTTTCATGAAGGGTCGGGCCTTTTCCTGTAGGGCTGGTTTCAATCTGTTCCATGCAGAGTTATATTGATTTCGATCAGGCTTTTTGAGCTCTGTTGAATGAGAGCAGATCTCCTTTAAGTCAAGTTTATTCGGAACTCGCTTCGTGATTTATAGCTGGCCGCGGACGACCAGCCTCACTACGATGGTGCGGGACTTGCGTTTTACTTTGCGCTTTCACAAGGGATGGGATGAACACGTAGGCAGTGTAGGCTGGGACTCGCATGGGCTGCCCATAAACCACCATCTTGGCCACATGCTTGGCCCATTGCTACTATCAGCGTACACTTTTTCGCATGCTCTGGTCAAAAAATGGCATTTTCATGGCAGTTTATCCATCGGCATGCATCCCCGGCATGCATCGTTTTCGTGTAATTTTCTGTTTATACTTTTTCAAAAATAGGTCAACTGGCAATTTGTCCCAGGCTAGCCACCAAAGCTGAGTGTCTTTATTCCGGCATGCAACCTGTTATGTACATATTCTAATGAAACAAACACTATCTTTGAGCAACCTATGTGTATGGATATCTGCGTATAAACACATAGCAAACACTTAACTCACGTTACAAATCTGCATGAGAATATGTGGGTTCTTAAAAGAATCTTACCGGTGGAAAGTATTGGCGTACAAACACAGCATACGACTTTTTCCTGCTAATGTTTGCGCCCATAATAGCACTGGGGCACTATAATGCAAAGAGGGGGTGAACTTTTCAAAACACTTTGCGACCTTATCAGACATTTTTTCGAAAATTCGAACGCTGCCTGAAAATTTGAAGTATGAAATTTGTCTCTTGTGCGGAGTTGGTGGGATTGTCATATCGCCGGATGGATGGCTTGAATGATCATACGGATGCAATGATCATACGGATATGCATGACTTGGAGATCTTCAGCGTGCGATTCAGGGCATGCGACAGTTGGTGTACTTCAACCGCGCACCAGAGCTCGGGATACGCGCGCCAACCCAGGCATGTGTCAACTGAAGATGCACTGGGCCCATGTCGACCAAGGAGCCCGTGTTGGCCTGGCCAACATTGGCCAGGGGCTCACTGGCCCATGTGCCCCTTGATGATCGAACTGGAGGGGGCTCAGGCGTAGCTCATCGTCGGCCCCGGGAGACTCGCTTGGCACCCTGAGCACCGTTGAAGAGGGAGACAAACACGTGGTCTTGCGGTGCACGGTCGGTCTATCCCGCCAGTTGTGGGAGCGCTGATCAGTTTTTGGACACCGTTTTGCTGACAAAAGTAGTAGGTCAGTTCAGTTTGTTCTTCCGGTGCGTCTTGAAGATGCTTCAAGCCTCTGGTCTGCAACGAAAATCCGGAATGGGACCCCAAATGAAGGTCACTGTCCCTGCATTTTCAACCAACAGAAGCCCTTCGTTCATTTACTTAGTTTGGAAAGATAAGACAGCTGTAAAAGCCTTATTCCTTGTAGAAAAACCAGGAGAATAGAGATGTAGATCAGTTGATACTTCGGCAGCATACCTTTTTCAAAGCAATAGCAGAGGTGAATTCAAAATTGCCTGCCGATGATCCCACTCGATTCTTCATGTTTTTGTTGTTGTTTGAAACAGTAAGCCACAGTTTTTACAGAGCACTAGCTTTCAGGGGACTAAACAAAGAACGATTGCAAGCCATTACCACGATACAGTGCCTATCTAAGAATTACATTATGCGAACATATGTGTGTATGCAAACACGTGTGTTTGCGTGCTTGGTTTTTTCTACTTTAATCTCTTGAATGATGGTGCCCTGTAAAAACTGTGGCTTGCTGTTTAAAAAAAGAATCGAGTGGAATCATCGGTAGGCAACTTTGAATTCACTGCTGCTATTGTTTCGATCAAAAGTGTGTTGCCGAAATATCAGCCTAACTATATTTCCATTCTCCTGGTTTTTCTTCGAGGAATGCGGCAATTACTACTGCATTATCTATGTCAATAATGTTCCTCGCTAATGTACTGAGCGACTTAGGTAGCTTAGAAAGAGATTCCTCCATCAACCTTTGTTTCCATCAGCGTCTTTGACTTCTTGATGGGTTTCATGGGAAAATTCGAAACTTTCCCAATCTTTCAACTTGACGGAAAACACCGATGGTTGCAGATCTAACGGTACAAAGGCTCGTGGCGCGACCCCACCAGCATCAAGTATCACATCTATGTAACCAGACCTCATCAACACCCGCTTAAAAACGAGGACGGAAGTGGCGTGATCTGTATTTCTGCACGTTTGCGGCTGGCAGGCGTGACAGCCACCCAAACACGCGGCAAAAATGGCGCAGCGGCGAGCGCGGCCCACGGCGGATGGTGGTTGCGGTGGCGACTTAGATCTTGGCGCAGTGGGGGCCCATAGGCTCCGTGTCGACACACTTGGTGTTGGCCGGACAGTATCTGCGTTCGCAGCCAAGTTTTGCTGTGGGCAAGTGGGCATGTCAGCGCTGTAGTTTGAGTCGATGCTTCCATTCCATGGTGGCAATGCACTCACTATGAGAGGCCATGATGGCTGAACGAGAGGCGCTGTCTGGTTTCCGGTACGTTGATGCATCGCTCGCGCTTTGTTCTGAACTATCCGACTTGTAAGACATCCGACTTGATAAGACATAACTAGTAAGACATCTGACAGTTTAATAGTTCCACATCCGCTGTGCCGAATTGGTTGGGTTAAGGGACCCTCAGATCATGCTCCACATGATAAACTAGATAAGCCAGTGGGACAAAAAAACGGTCTAGCAAGGGTCGACGTCCTTTGTGGCTGGCAGCGCCATCTGTGGTTAGCATCGTCACCTTGATGCAGAGCAGCCCCACAAGCCTAGTAACGCCATCTACATCACTTGAGCCGCTCCTAAACTGTCTGTGTCCGTGATGGACGGGGAAAGAAGTCTCAATGTCCGCACTCACTCGGCCTGAACCACTGAAGTGTGAAACACCACCCCCGCCGCCAAACTGGTCTGGTGCCTGGCAGCGGTGCCACCGCTCTGAACTTACACTGGCCCTTGCGGCAAAGGGCGCCACTCGGTGTGTCGATGCAGCTCAGGCCCCGCGCGCACACGCGCACCTCGCACGTGTTGGGCAGGCAGACGGGGGAGCCATCACGGATGTAGCAGTTGGTGCCGCGGCGACAGAAGAAGTCCTTGCACGACGGCACATCTGCGGCATCGGTCAGCGAGTGTTTAGGTCACTGGCCTACCTTGCCGATCCCAACGCTGAATCGGACCAGATTCCGTTCAAACTTCAGGCACTGGGTGATGTGCTGAACCGAGTAAAAACAGCAGGTACAGGCTGCCTAGGAAACATCGGTGACAGCGTTACAGAGGTCGTTTGTCCTGAGTGACCATTTTCCACACCAAATTTGGGTGGCCTGTTCTTACTTGGTCCTATGTCTAATCGGAACAAGCTGCGTTAGCGCAGCAAATCTATCATACAAAGCACAAGAAATAAATGTACAGCGTCTTTGGAGCATGGTCCGCGCCGAACACCTGGGCAATGGCGAGACGGGCGACAGTGGCGAGTTACCGCGGCTGGCCGCTTCACAAAGCCGTTTCTGTGAAATGAAGACAGATAAAAGTCCCAGACGGTTGCCATTCTTCATTTGGAATCCACCCTGCCGAGACAGGCCCGTGCCGAGCCATCAAGCACCGACGGCGAGTCCACTGCAGCTCCACTTCGCGGAGCATTGGAAGCCCTCGCCGATCGGCAGACGCCTGCGATGATGAGAGGTCACTGCCCTGAGTGGCCGAGGTCACCGCCCGGGGTGGCCGAGGTCACCGACCCACCAGAGGTGGCCTGACGGCAGGCCGGGATCTCTCACCTGGCACGCAGTCGGGGCCATCGGGCAGATCATTGCAGAGCTCGCCGGCGGCGCACTTGATGTCGGCGCAGGTACCTATGATCAAAGGGTAAGAGATCTTAGACACGCATGCCCCTCCCCTCTCACACAAACGTCACACACATACCATTGTGATACACATGCGGCGTTGTAACGAGACACTGAGACGATCACGGTCAGCGGGGAGAAGGGAACTTGATGATGTAAGTTGGTCAGTGCATCTGCAAATGCGAGCAGTCTGGTTGGCCGTGTTCGACATTCGTGAGTGATGAAAAACGTACTGTTCGTAGTCTATTCTTCTCATCCATTTCTCGCTATTTATTCATTCCTTAACGTGGAATAAGACTGCTCTTAAGGAGTTTGATGCTAGCGGTTTTGACTGAGCATTCATACACCAAATGTAGTGAAATGCCCTGGAGCAAGCTGAGAAAAGTGAGCCACACTGGAGGATGTGCTGCTGCCTACTTATGGGTAACACAAACGTGATTCAAGAAATGCCGTTCTACTTCAATTTCCTAAGAATCTTTCCTTTTTGTGTTTATTTTTCAGGTCTTCATACCACTTCGTAGACTGCCTTGCAAATATCTAGCCTCTCCTTCATCGAAGGCCCAAAACAATTTTCCTGTAGGCCTTGCACAAGCCGAAAAGGGAAATGTAAATCATATTAAAGGGAGGATACTTATATCCTAAGAAACACATAAACTTACTGCGTAAAGTGCCATGCTACTTAAATTCCGACTGTTGCTTTTTTCCTTGGACACGGTTACACCAGGACATGCTACTACTTCGTACACTGCACTGCAACTGTCGTTTATCGGATCTCCTTCCACGGAGCCATTCCTCCATGCATTCATACCACCCCGTACATCACGCCGCAAATGCCTTTCCTCACACCAATTTCGTTTAAAGCCCTTCATCCAGAAACAGTACAGGGAAGGGCTTTGCCACCATCGCAGATGTGAACGACGCGGCGCAAAAAGGCAGCACTCACGTGGCACACACACGGGGCCGGTGGGGCGGTCTTCACACTTCTCGTTCTCCTTGCACTTGTGTGTTTTGGAGGTAGGTACCTCTGAAAAGGTAATTCAGGCATGTCAAGATATTCTTCATAGAGGCGATGTCTTAGAAGATTGAAGAATAGATAGCAGTGCATTCCAAACGACTGAATGCATTTCAGTCACACCTGTACTCCGAAAATTAATAACTTTGCAGCGTGAATGCTTATGGCAATATGAGCTGTACTGACCACCTCGTCAAACTCGGGCCGTTATGATAATGCTTGCCTAAGTCATCAAACCGAAATGCTAACATTTAGAGGACACCTTGTCTGTAAAGCCAGCAGGTCAACTTTGGAGTCAATATGGGCTAGAATAACACCCACAGTTACCTTCAGTGCCTTGCACTGCTCTTCACGGTAGACATATGTAACGAGGCTCTGATGGGCATTGATTGAAAGTCCGAAAATAACCATGCAACCCTATCTAAATGGCATCGTTCCTGATGACCTGTTCCCAGGTTCCACGGACGCTCCCGGCACATAGAAACACCCATACATGTGTCGATGACGCGGATTGTGTTTGCCTTCGGATGGACGGGGAAATGTTCAATACGAGGCCTCAAGCCATGAACGAGGCGGATCTGGAGACGTCTGCCAGGGGTGAGGTTCGCTTACTTGGCACGTACTTAAAAGAGGTATGCTGGGGATGGGGGTCTGCTCACTCGGCCCGGACTCTAGAGAGGTCTGTCAGGGGTGGGTCTGCTTACTAGGCAGGGAATCTAGAGAGCTTGGCCAGGGGTGGGGTATGTTTGCTTGGTCCGGACTCTGGAGGGGTGTGCCAGGGGTGGGGTCTGCTTACTTGGCACGCACACCTCGCACGACTGGATTTCGCACTCGCTGTTTTCAGGGCAGGTCTTTGAGCAAGCTGCAACAATGAAGGAGAACGTTAGGCATCGGCAGAGTCCTTTTACCCTTGAGATAACTGAAAGGAAATGTTAACAAGGCGAGTTTCCCGAACACACTGAGAGCAGTGCGCATATGCAACGTTCAAATGTTTTGTCTCGGCTCGGAATGAACTCGGGTTGTATTAGGTACGTTCCTGAAGACTTTTTCGTCAGGCTCCATAGACTTCCTCTGCCCATGGAAGCGCGCTGATATTCTTTAGCACGATGTCTCGAAAGCACATATCAAGCAACTTTGAAATCTTCTGCTATCGACAGGTGGCCCACATCAGTCAGCGCCATACTCGGGCCGCTTGGTTATCACGGAGGTCAGCACCGGCCACGCGCACTACATCTGGATGCAATTCGTAGGGAAGAGCGCTCTGCAGTAGGCAGCCGTCCCCGAAGGGAACAAAACAGTACACTCACTTTTGGGTGTGGGCGCTGGCTGGTAAGAGTTCTGGGCGGCGGCGTAGGCCACCAGAAGGCAGAGGATAACGACGCGCATTATTGGTGCTGTATGTCGCTGGGAAGATGGGAACGGTGTCACAAAGCGCCACGGAAACGCTGTCGTAGAGCGTCACCGAAACGCTGCCACAAAGCACCACAGAAACGCTGTCACAGGGCGCCATGCGAGCATTGCCTCAGGCCGCACAGAGCGCCACGGTGAAGGGTCTCGCCCGGGACGAAGCGGGATCAGGCCGAGAACGGCGCTCGGGACATAAACCTTGAGTTTGTATGCGTTCGTAATTGGGAAAGGACAAGTTTTTTTCGAGGGTCTCCTCCATGCAGGCCTCACCCACGTAAAAACAGACAGCGGGTGAAGAGGCAAGCTGTGAACTATTCATCTGAGCACAAAATTATCATCTTCAAACGAAACGCTCCAAACCAAGTTTTTTCACCCTGTCCATGAAAGTGAGCTCGATGTACCGAACCGACCTTGACGAGCTGACAACACTCTAGAGCACTCAGTTCCTGGCGCTCCGCGGCGCCGAGCGAAGAGTGCCGCGCTATCTGCCGCGCGATCTACTAACCGGTGCTGAGCGGGAGTTGTCACGGGAGAGTTGGTACGCCCGTGAGCCGCCTGGCTTTATATACCTTTCTCGGGTGGCAGGCCGGCGGGCACGTGCTCCACCAGGGGGGGGGGGGGGGGGGGGGGGCTCACCCCGGCCGGACGACTCTGGGCGGCACCGGCCGCACCGGCGCGCAGCGGCGCCCGTCTTCCGAGGAAACCCACAGCGCCGCTCAGGCGTAGCGGCGGTGAAGCAGTGCCACTGGAAGGTTAAGTTACATGGCGAAAGACACGGGCATCGGTCAGATTATGCGCATCTGGAGAACACGCTGCGAGCTGTTCCAATCCACAACAGGTGACTTGTGGTGCGCTCATATTCAAAGTCAGACGATGACCACGCAATGTTTGTCCATGTTGCAGAGCGGGACAAGAGGAGATCACTCAGTTTCGACGGTTGGTAACATGACAATCGGTCTTGCCATTGGATTCACAAGAAAAAATGTTAACCCGGAAAAAAACAGAGCCCACCGCTGGCTTGCACCGAACCGTACATGGACTCATTTTCGTTAGAGGGCACAGAACTTAGAGGTCGAAAGGCAGGACGGCCAGGTCGGGCAACATCGAACTTCGGATCAGCTACCAGCATTCGCGATAGCTCCCTTCGTATTTGTGCCTGTTTTTGGTGGCGTGCCTCAGGCAGGCCCCAGAGCCTGCCACCTAAGCACTTTGATACCAGGGCGTCCTTTCATCGGATTCAGGCGCCTCTGTCGCAGGACGCCAAAAGCGGGACTCTCAGAAGCCTTACAGGGCGGCGTCCCATGGCCCCCGGTACATGGTCGCTGCTGAGCTCAAACTGCCCAATCGCTATACAACGCCATGTACCCCCGATATAGCTCGTCCCGTGCCCATGTAGAGTGGCACCCCTTGTCTATACACCAGTGAAATGTGGACTGGAAGGGAGAGTCAGTCACAGTAGAGCAGAGTTATGCTGTAGTGTAAAAAAGTTCCACCTTTTTCGGGGTCTGGATGCGCAGATGAAGGTGACACATCCCAAGATGCCACACCCTACTACTGCAGAGACATACAAGGGCAAACAGTTGTGTTCCCTACTTTCTTCGCTCTGTGGCTGGATGACACGGGAAGGGGTTCACGCCAGTTGACGAAGACACGCTTAGGAAAGACTGGACGCTGAGTTGTACCAGTTCTGGCTTTTGCAACGCATCATGTCAATGAGCATATCGACTAGAGTACACGACTGAATATGTTCTTTGTACTGCATACGTAAATGAAATTGTACTTGTACCTATGCGGGCAGGTTGAAAGAGAATACCAGTATTTGTATTTCAACCAGCAAGGTTAAGGAGAAGTGCCGAAGCCATTCTAACATGCCTGGTACTCCCAAAGCAAAAACTGTGTCGCTTAAGGACACTTTTATAACCGCATGTACAGCTCCTTGTGTACTATCCGTTAGTTTCCTGACCTAAACGGCAGCAACTCCGATTTCGGGGGGACACGCGTATCTCGGACATTGCCCAAAGAAAGGCCTCTCAATTTCAAAGAAGGAGACCAACTCCCAACTTCAGAAATGCCTCCGCACTATCATTCAGTCTCCGAGACACCCGTATATTTTCGGGCAGCCCGCGAAGACAGCTCCTATCTTTCCCACACAACCGCTGTTGCTTTCAGGGCCAAAGCAGCATTATCTGTAGAAGACGGTCACACGTCGTGCGTACTCCACACGCACCAGGCTTCACCAGCACCAAACCCCGCACGCCACCAGGTGGCCACACGCACCAACTGCCACGGACCGGCGCGGCCGCCGCCACCAACTGAACAATCGAATGGAGCTCTGCGCAAGTGGGTCGGTCCACATCAAGCTTATGGAGAATCGCAATACACGGCTCCGGGGAGTTGTTAAACGTTGTGAAGCAATGGGCTGCTTCCCACTTTTTGGAGCGATCATCACAGGTAGAGCGTGGGCGTCACCTTGACATCGCTGGTTTTACTAGCAGTCAACGGCTTGGCCAAAGTGAACGCGGAAGCTGATCCATCCAAAGCGGAGGAACTGTGGACCCAGCGAGCAGCGGTGGCTCTTCAAACCGGGCCGCGATATCAGTCTGCCCCAGTTCGGACTCCCCCCCCCCTCCCCAGCCACCCCACCCAGCCCGAGCTCGCCCTTTCGGCGCCACAAAAGTTGAGGCAGTCAAGCTGTTGTTATTGTTGTTGAGCCTGTCGAGCTGTGGATGAGTGTGCGGACTCACGCCGGGAACGGTTTGGCCTGAAACAGATCAGCGCTGAGAACGAGACTCGGAACGAAAACTGAACGTAAAACTAGCCCACGACCAGAGGTTTTGGGCCAGCGACCTACCAATGCAGCGCTTTGGGCGACGGTCAACGTAAAATGACAAAAAATGAACTTCGTGCCCATGCGTTTGCCGCCGGTCCATGACGAGGCTGCTCACAACTTCGCTGCGTAACTAACTAGCCACTAACAAACCATGCAGATCCCAGAAATCCTCCAGGAACTATAGGACGGCATCTAGTAGACTTAATCATGGCGGTTATCTCTGCTTCGGTGTGTTAGGAGCCTGGAGGTCGTGTCCGCTCGGTGCGCTGGGGGCCTAGGTTCTGGCCGCTCACGCCGCACCTGGCCGGTGCAAGAGCCGATAAAGCTCTTAGCGGCGTCCCTGGCCCAGCCCGGCATGTGCCATCCAAGGGGCGGGATGTCCTTGGGCCGTTGTGCCACTTCCGTTCGTGGTGCCGCTGCCGCGCTCACTGGCTGCGGTTTTGCTGTGGCCGCGGCGGGGCCCGGTTCGTTACAGTGGTGCGAGCTCTCCATCGGCACGACCGACAGCGACGCTCCCGGTCACATTCGCGGGGCACCGATAGCACATGGCGCGTCGACCCAGACCCTCTTTGTCTAGGTGTGCCAGGCCGCATGGGCGTGATGAGTCCAGTGCATGCGTCTGGCTGCAGCGGCAGACGCCGCTTGAAGGGAGCATCCCACCGCTGAGGCATAGCTCAAAAACATACTCGGATAAAACCAGAAGCGGCAACCTCTAATTGGAATTCTGAGTCATTTGGACTGATTTCCACAAAACTGGTATTTCCGATGAAATCAGACGCGTATGATCTGACATTGAGTGCAAACAACAAAAAGGTGGCATGCTTCCTTAAACAGCGAGCGGCGCCGCTGTTTCATATACCTTATGTGCACTGTCACGATAAAGATCAGAGTTGTCCAGTCTCGTCACCAAACCACTACCTCAAAGAGGATGTAAGTCAGAGATAGCTCGCCAAGCACTCAGCCCCCTGAATCAGCGTGCTCGTGCCGTGAATGACGTTCGCTTGGCAGGCAGGCAAACATTCTGTTTGCAACAACCTCAGCTAATCCCCCATAGGACGCCAACGGTGGCCTTGTTATTATACGCTAGACAAGTCCATGTCACTTACATCGGCTGTAAGTCTATCACCGTGCACGTTAAGATCACGAAAGCAAGGCTATGTCTTCAGCCACCCACGATGTATTGTACCCGTTCATTAGTAATGAAGCAGACGTATTAGATAAGAAGCAGAACAAGAAAGCTGTTCATTGCACTTGTAAGGGATATTATATACGTAGATGAGACAGTAGTTCTAGCTCCATTCTTCGGATAAAAACCAGGAGAATGGAAATATAGATGGGTTGATACTCTGGCAACAAAGCAGAGCATATAAGATAATAATACTTCCGGTCAGCAGCATGAATTTTGAGACAAAACTGGCGTAGTATTGTCTTTATTCAGAGCGACGCTTAAGATATAAACCAGGTCACGCCCATAGCATCCGGGAACTCTAAATTTGTGTGATGCCTCTTTTGAAAACCAGATCAAACGAGGGATGCCTCAAAGATATTTGAACTCGATATATATA